GCTTCTTGTTCCTAGTAGTAAGGCCAGAAGCCCCTAGTAGCTTCTTGTTTCTAGTAGTAAGGCCAGGAGCCCCTAGTAGCTTCTTGTTCCTAGTTTCCTAGTAGTAAGGCCAGAAGCCCCTAGTAGCTTCTTGTTTCTAGTAGTAAGGCCAGGATCCCCTAGTAGCTTTTTGTTCCTAGTAGTAAGGTAGTAAGGCCAGGAGCCTCCAGTAAGCGCGGAGCCCTAGTTGCTTCTTGTTTCTAGTAGTAAGGCCAAGAGCCCCTAGTAGCTTCTTGTTCCTAGTAGTAAGGCCAGGAGTTTTGAGTAGGCGAGGAGCCCCTAGCAGCTTCTTGTTTCTAGTAGTAAGGCCAGAAGCCGCCAGTAGCTTTTTGTTTCTAGTAATAAGGCCAGGAGCCCCTAGTAGCTGCTTGTTCCTAGTAGTAAGGCCAGGAGTCTCCAGTAGGCGAGGAGCTTCTTGTTCCTAGTAGTAAGGCCAGAAACCCCTAGTAGCTTCTTGTTTCTAGTAGTAAGGCCAGAAACCCCTAGTAGCTTCTTGTTTCTAGTAGTAAGGCCAGGAGTCTCCAGTAGGCGAGACGCTAGCAGCTTCTTGTTCCTAGTAGTAAGGCCAGAAGCACCTAGAAGCTTCTTGTTTCTAGTAGTAAGGCCAGGAGCCCCTAGTAGCTTCTTGTTCCTAGTACTAAGGCCAGGAGTCTCCAGTAGAGGAGCACCTAGTAGCTTCTTGTTCCTAGTAGTAAGGCCAGCAGCCCCTAGTAGCTTCTTGTTTCTAGTAATAAGGCCAGGAGCCCCTAGTAGCTTCTTGTTCCTAGTAGTAAGGCCAGGGGTCTCCAGTAGGCGAGGAGCCCCTAGTAGCTTCTTGTTGCTAGTAGTAAGGCCAGAAGCCTCTAGTAGCTTCTTGTGTCTAGTAGTAAGAGCAGGAGCCCCTAGTAGCTTCTTGTTCCCAGTAGTAAGGCCAGGAGTCTCGAGTAGGCGAGGAGCGCCTAGTAGCTTCTTGTTCCTAGTCGTAAGGCCAGAAGCCCCTACTAGCTTCTTGTTTCTAGTAGTAAGACCAGGAGCCCCTAGTAGCTTCTTGTTCCTAGTAGTAGGGCCAGGAGTCTCCAGTAGGCGAGGAGCCCCTGGCAGCTTTTTGTCCATAGTAGTAATAGTAGCAGTAGGCGAGGAGCCTCCAGCAGCTTCTTGTTCCTAGTAGTAAGGCCAGGAGTCTCCAGTAGGCGAGGAGGCCCTAGCAGCTTCTTGTTGCTAGTAGTAAGGCCAGAAGCCCCTAGTAGCTTTTTGTTTCTAGTAGTAAGGCCAGGAGCCCCTAGTAGCTTCTTGTTCCTAGTAGTAAGGCCAGAAGCCCCTAGTAGCTTGTTGTTTCTAGTAGTAAGGTCAGGAGCCCCTAGTAGCTTCTTGTTCCTGGTAGTAAGGCCAGGAGTCTCCAGTAGGCGAGGAGCCCCTAGCAGCTTCTTGTTCCTAGTAGTAAGGCCAGAAGCCCCTAGTAGCTTCTTGTTTCTAGCAGCGATGGTCATTCCGGCAGGTGGACATTGTGAGCGTGAACAGTGTGGCCTTAGCCTTGGCCAACGTGGCGCGCTGGCAACGTGCCCTTGCGCTCACGCAGCCCTGGTGGCCCTTGGCGACGGACGGGGGGACTGCTCGGGCGATATGCATGCTGAGCTGAGCGAATTCGGGAGATGTTGAACTTGTTAACTTGTTTTCCTTATTATAGAGTCTCTCTCTCTATATATATATAATATATGTACCTTTTGGGAACATGTTATTTCTTTGTTTCCTGATAACTTATCCTGCTTCATGAGACTATTAAACTATTAGGCCGTAGACCTTTAGACCTTCATTCCTTCCTTCCTTCGTGGAATTGACATCGTTTCCAAACGGCTCACACATGTGACGTGCAACCGCTCCCATGTTGCAGCCCCTTCGCTCGCACGACACGTCGGATCAGTTGAATTTTTGCCAATGGCCGCCGCAGGCCATCACCTTCAACACGCTTGCGCTTGCCTGCAAGGTTGGCGTGAGATGGTTGACGGGTTGACATCGCAGAATCGGTAAAAGACCTCTGATGGTTGATCGATGCCCTGCTCAATAAACCCATTTGAAGATGCCAACTATATTCAGTGTGTCCTTGTAAATTGTGAGCTGAGAATGAATCCACGTGATCAAGAAGGGAAAAGGGGAGTGAGGTTCAACTAATGGAGGCCAAAGAGCTTTGAACTGGCTTCGAAAAGGCATTGGAATCGTAAATGACAAATAACACTAGGAGGGGGATTCACAACCATCAAGTGGGATCATCCGCTTGATCTTGTGCTGAGATATGCAAACCTTCATTTTCCACAAACTACTTTCAATATCAATATATCAATATATATCATATAATAATATATAATTTCATAACTTTCAGAAAACCACCCTCGGTTAGAACCATGGTTTGTAACATGTGAGAGATATCATTGGCTACCAGCTTTTCCCCTTGCTTGGTAGCGTTGGAAATTGATGCTGTGTGTAAGCATTGCATTGCAGTTTGCAATAGCATTCTGGAATAGCAGTGGCAACAATGCCATACCGTTACACGTAACCTTGAGTGAAAGCACTGCTGTATAGACATCAGAGACGGAAGTCAAACACAAACTTCGTTTGGCTCAAGTGTGAGAAGAAACTTGTGCGGCAGCCTGGGTCCGATCGTTCGTTGCATCGTATCGTGACATTTGCTGTACATTGCTCACATTTGGAAGCATATATACACAGATCTAAGAATGTACTGGTTATCAGCCGCAGCAGAGACACCCTGAGCTGCGGGATCGTGTGAACAGAGAGAGACCAGAGAGTGCACTGAGAGTTCAACTCATTGTCTTGTAAGTCAAGGGCCAAGGACATAGTTGTTTGATTGATCAAGACCAAGTACAGCTACACTTTTTGTATCTTGCTCCCTTGCTCGCGCCTTAGCGCGAATGGACCGCTCGCGATCGGTTGCTGATCGATCACGACCCCGTGAGAGACGGGCTAGGGGCGGTGACCCTTATCGCCCCTCTCAGAGGTATCATGAGCGTGTTGGACTACAGGTGGAGCATCGGACCAGAGGTTCTTCGCCACCGCCAGAGTCGAAATACTACGCTCGTTCAAGGCCAGTTGAACCGTCGGGTCCACCTCCAGATCGTCGGCAACCGCGTGAGCCGGCGAATCCGCCTTCCGTTGAGACCTCTTCAAGCCCAAGACGACCTCCAAGATTGCCCCACGGGCCACCACCTGGAGTCACAGAAACTGTGTCTCACAGAAGTCTCCCAAGGCGTGTTGTTGCTGAGGAGCGTGAGGAGGCCGAGCACGAAGAGTCAGAGGAGTTAGAGGAAGGAGCAGGATCAGCCCCATCGTCGGGCCCTCCAGTCGCGGACCCGCCTACGCGGGGCGGCTATAGCAAGCGTGGGTGTGGATTCCGGATCCTGATCCGAGAGATCTTGCCGGACCTGAGCATTGGAGGCCCGTTGATTCTCCTCCTGAAGTTGTGTCGCGTGCTTCTCCATCGGTTGAGCGTGTTGATTGCGAGACGGAGGAGAGAGAGGAGCACTCGCGTGCCGCAGGTCGTGGTGAAGCGTCGGATTTGTCGAGGTAAGGGTCGAGCAGGCCGAAGAGGAGCAGACCGTTCCACCAACAGAGCCAGCCGAGACTGAGGCTGCGCCCACCCCAGAAACCGCTGAGGAATCCACGCCGGAATCCCGCCGGCAGGCAAGAAGGATTCTCCGGGAAGGTGCTAAGCACTTGAGAGAGCAGGCCAAGGAACTCAGGGGCACGAGATCGAGGCCGTCGTCAACTACCTCGCCGCCGGAATCGTCGCTATCACCTCAGACAGAAGCAAGAACTCAGGCATTTGCAAAGTCGAAGGGGCGAAAGGAAGCGGGAGAGGCAGCACAGGCGGATCGAAAGAAGCAGCTTGACGCACTACCCCGCCCGCCGTTGCCGCCAGTCAGACATCGCACTCCGCCTGTTGAACCCAGAGCTGCATCGGCTCCACGGCCAGCAGAGGCCCCGCTTGCACTTGAAGATCAGGCCGCAGAGAGGCCACAGCTTACACAACCGGTCCGACCGGTGAGGCTGCAACCGCGACCCAAGGGGTCGCCTGAGGTGCGTGTGCCAACACCCCCAAGACCTCCTTCACCGTTGCCATCTTCATCTGCATCCCACAGGGAACCTCATCCTGGAGAACCCAAGTGGCTGAAAAAATGTATTTTATACACCCCAAAAATCAAACATACATTTTTAAAAAAAAATACATTTTTTTAGGAAAAATACATTCCTGGGGCATAGGGTTGTATTCTCCCAGCTCAGCTACCATATGCTACGCCCTCAGCTAGGGTCAGGGTGGTGTGTGGGAAGCCTCTTTCTGCTGAAAGTCTGCGTCTGAAGCCTGCGTCTCTATATAGCTTCTCAGCAAGGGGTCCCTCACAGTGGGTGTGTGGGAAGCCTCTTTCTGGGGAGATGTGCATCTGAAGCGGGAAGCCTCTTTCTGGGGAGGAGTGTGAGCACTTCAAAACCCTGAAAGTACGCATGAGGTGTTTGGGTGTGTTTTATACTTTGTGACAGAAGCAGCACAAAACAGTGGCAAAGCCAACGTTCTTTCAAATATATAGGCAGGCAAAGAATCGAAGCGGGTCTTGCTTGTTTGAGTTCCCTTATTTCGTTTTGTTTGTCTGTTTCGTTTGTTTGTTAACGTTTGGAACTGCGTGCAAAACATGTGCGCCGGCTCAACAAACCTATTTTTTTACCGCTTTTGGCGTTTGCTGCAGGCGCTGCCACAGCAAAGTTTGTTTCAGGATGTACCGTCTGGCCCAAGTCGTTGTGACTGTCAACGGATGACATCCCAAGGATATGCCACGCAAGTGCTTCATATGATCCTCATCTGTAAAATTGCTTAGCGCCAGTGGGTTGCGACCTGAGATCTCTGTCTGGTCCAAGAGGTGGCGCATGTAATGGTGCTTTGGGCGCACTTTGAAAAGCAGCTTCTGGTCAATCTGAGCCTCCAGAGAAAGAGCTGCATACATTTCCAAGAACAACCGCCCCATAGCCACAGACACAGACCTCTCTTGGTCAGAAAGTGAAGGTCTGCATCCCTTCGTCCAAATGCTCAAGCAGGCACTCAAGGAAAAACACATGGATGCCCTCAGCTGCGCATGGTAGATTGTGATGCCATCAGAGCTCGCTGGTAAAGAATGTTCCACGTCAATACAAACCTTGCAAACAAATTCAAACAGCACCCTTGCCCTGGCTGCTTTGATGGATGATTCCAAGCCTGCATAGCTAGTGGATGAGTACCCGACAGTGGACTCTGTCAGAGGCTTGATCGAGAGTTCCAGTTTGTGCTCTTTAGCCCAAGCTCGAGCCATTGATGTCAATCTGTAGAGCACCAAGTCGTTCGAAGCATCTTCTCCCAAGCCAACATATTTGTGAAGATCTCGTGATTTCAACATGTCCACCACACAACTGCCCACGATGTCCCTGATGATGCCCAAATGAAGAATATGCATACCTAAGTTGGGACACCAAGGAACCATTGTAGTTCATGACTAGTAACAACGTACAATGATTGATTTGGGAAAAGTCTGACAAAGTCGACAAGAAACTGCAACCCAACAAATCTCAATCAAGTGGCAATCCCACAGTTGCCTGTCTTTGGAAAATCCAAAGACTCGCAGCCATGGAGACTGTCCAGGGTCACTTCTCGAGCATTCAGTCGTTCTCCAAAACGCATCTGAAGTGAAATCTGCATAGTTCAACATCTCTGCAGTCCGACTTGCAAAGCACCAATCACAAATAAATGTGTGTCTGAATGATCTGGTCGCTTCCTTACCAATACATGGCAATAAATCAAAAGATCTTGACAACACTTGCCCAGAAACAGCATGGCAACGAATTCAGTTTCAGCCGGGTCAGGGAAACGCATACACATACACACAATCAACTCACAAAGGGCGTTGATAAAGACAACAAGTCTCATGAGCAGCTGCAGCTGCCTCTTGGTCGCCCTTCCAGTTTGCAAAAACAGCTCGCCACTTTGGACCACCTGGAACTTGAGCAATTGGCTGACCGGCCCGCTTTGCAAACTCAGATCCTGGTGGAAAAGGATTCCCAAGATGATCGCACGAAGGGAAGACACCTTCAAAGCAAGCTTTCATATCCCAGGCCAAGATGTCCAATATCTTGTGCCTGGTGGCCTGCGACATAGTGCTCGTAGCCAATCCAATGACACACTTCCTTGATGTCCAACTGCCGCCACTGGTCAAAGGAGTTGACCAACTGAGAAATGTTCCAGAATCTCCTCTCCAACGTGGTACCGCATCTTCATGGAAGTAAAGAGGTAAAGTGTAGGCAAGACTGTCAACTCCGCCAAGTCGATCTGTAAAGGATTTGTCTTCAGACAGCCAAAATTTGAGAACACTGTCAGGTCCTTCATCAAAGAAGCAAGCATTGGAAGCAGCTGGTCCCCGCTTGAAAATGGCGGAAATAATTGTGGACGGAAGCACAAACGCCACCTCAACATCTTTCTCAATCTGGTCATGTGATCCAGGGTCAGTCGCCAGCAAAGGGATCTTGGTAATGTACGGAGCGAAGGGCAATTGAATCCTTGTGGGGGCACACAACTTTAGGCTTTCCATTCAAACGCCTCACCGCAAACCTACATCCTGAAATGCGTTCAAACGTTTATGTTTAGCACCAAGGAACCACCGGAATAGATCACGCTCTCTTGTTGTCTTAGCAAATTGCAAAGCAGCCCGGCTCTTGACGCCGTCTTCCACAAAGGCTGCCGCTATTTGCGTAGACTTTCTCACAGACAAGCCCTCAGTGTGATGCACAGATGCTCTTCCACCCTCGCTCAAAACAATGGAACAGGTGTTTGATCATGGTGCATGCAACCCAGTCACTCCACTCCCGACTTCCTCTGCCAACAGCAGGCAACCCTTGCTGGTCAATTCCTCCACGGGCCTCATACAATACAATGCAGCAGAAACACACATCACATGA